CAACCTTCAGACATACACTTCTTTTGAATATTTTGAAGCGATACCGAATATTATTACCAAGTTTCATCAAAATCTGTCAAGAATTGGGCCTTTTAGAGTGATAACAGGCTAGAACTTGAACACGTTTTTAAGAACAAGGGCAATAATATTTTTCAATTTTCTGATTTTCGTTAGGGTTCATCTTTGGGTGATTACATACACTCACACCAAGTTTCGTCAAAATCCATCAAGAACTGTGCCTTCTAGAGTGTTTAAGTGCTACAAATTGAACACATTTTCAAGAACAAGGGCAATAACTCATACCAATTATTTTCCGATTTTTCTAATTTTCAATCTGGTCCATCCTAAGGTGACAACAAACACTCACACCAAGTTTCGTCAAAATCTGACAATTATTGAACCTTTTTATAGCGTTAACGAGCTAAAAATTGAACGCATTTTCAAGAACAAGGGCAATAACTCATACTAAATGTTTTTCAATTTTACTGATTTTCGATAGGATTTAACCTTGGGTGATTACAAACACTCACACCAAGTCTCGTCAAAACCCGTCAAGAATTGTGCCTTTTAAGAGTGTTTACAAGTTAAAATTGAATGTGTTTTCAAGGACATGGGCAATAACTTATATTATGTTTGATCTTTCTGATTTTACATCGGGTTCATCCTTGGGTGAAAACAAACACTCACACCAAGTTTCATCATAATCCGTCAAGAATTGTGCCTTCTAGTGTGTTTACGAGCGTTTTAAGACAGAACACGGGCAATAACTCATACTAAATATTCTTCGATTTTTTCAAGTTTTGTCGAAACGGTCAAGGATTGTGACTTGAAGAGTGTTTACTAGCAATTGTGGACTGACGGATATGGGTGACGACAATAAACGCACCAATTTCACGTGGGCGTATAAAAATTATCATATTATCGTACCACTCCTTCCTCCAGGGCTAAAACATGCTTACAAAATAGTTGTTATAACTGGTAAAATAAAGGTATAGATATCGTTACGATACAGTATTTACCTTTCACCTTCTTATAAATACAGATTATCATATAACACGTTACGTATTTGTTTTCATATTACAGTTATTATGATTATAGATTAATCTCATAGATAATCTCCAATTTTATCGTTCTTCAATTAATATTCTTACCCTCCATTTTGCTTATTACCATTTTTTTATTTTCAATTTTGAAGAGCGTCATTTATAACAGGTTCTAGTTTCTTAATACCTATTCTCAAGAAGATTGTAACCTCTTCTAAACTTTTAAGTTTGCTTTGATGTCTTTGAGCAATCGACACCTTAACGTAGATCTTTAATTCAGCCTGTTTTTGACGTTCACAACATATTCTCAAGGAGTTTGTAACATCTTACACACTTTTTAAGGTTTCTTTGATGTAGTTTAGCTGTAGATATGTAGGCTAGAATTGTATCTGCATCAAAAGGTCCTTATCTTAACATAGGCCTATCTGTTTCGAGATGGACATATTACAGCCTAAAATTAGGCTCTTTTTGACCCAATTATTTGACATTATTAATATATATTTAAGGAAGCTGATTTTAAAATGAAACCCAAAATCAAACTGGCTTTCAAATTTGACATAGACTGGTCGAATGATAGACCTATGCTTTACAAACTCAAAGAACACAATTTCAAATAACCTTTAGACTAACTTAAATTAAGATATTTAAACATTTTAAAATCTATAACTAGCAATGAAGTTAGTCTAGGTCTTCAAAGTGATCATTACATAATAAAAGTAGGCCTATTTAAAATCAATAGAAGTTCAGTCATAGAAATAATAATTCATAAGATTTAATCCGAACTAATTAAATTCGTCAATAATGGAAGAAATTAATAACTGAATACATGTATATCTTTTCATTGTTGCGACCCTGTTTTAGGGGAGGGTATTTCAAGTAACAAAATATGGCATGAACTGGATTTCCTTTATGACTGCTACATGGTGGCATCTAGAGAAATTAACCTATTGCTACATATATTCGAACTGAGCGCACCGCGTCACCGGCAACTAAAAAGTCACGATTGCAACCGTGTCCATCCTTATGCGCCTGTACGCCAACCGATGGTCGTTAGCAGCATAGATATAGGCCTATAGCTTTTTCGGGGATGTGGACATGAGTACATTCATGTCTTTTCAACAATGAAACATAAGTATTCATAGACTTTTTCGCATGTCATTTTTCTATTTCAGTAGGCTATCTGAAGACAACCAAGAAGGCATGTGTTCAATCATATATTGGTAGTTGTTGCCAGACGTTGTATATACTTATTGGTGTAATTCCAAGGGATGTCGTTTTCTACTGCTGTTTTGGTGAGTATATATATCAATATATAGGACATGCACATTTTATACTAATACAATATTATACAGCTTCTACAATCTTTTGCGTACGACGTAAACAAGTTCATAATAAACGACCTTGAAAGGTATTCATCAAGCAGAAGACTAGATTTTATATATTTTCAGTCAAGCACTTAAAATTTACCAAGCATTTTATTTAATATTCAATGATTTCGAAATCCATTGATGTTTATTTTTCTATTATTTATTTTAAACATACCATAATATAGTATCGTTATTGTAAGATATGTAAAGGCGCTCCTTAAGTCAACTTCTTTTCTGAAAAGAAGCGTACTCAATGTTGGGCATTGCCGGCGTAGCTTGCAATAATGATTATGGACAACTTCAAATTATATCAGTTTTTGAACATAACTCTTGAGATTAGAGCCTAAAGCTTGATCTCGGATAAAGTATGATCCATCAGTTGAATCATCAAGCTATCGGTGCCATAGTGTTAAAATACTAAGACAATCCTTACAATCGATGAAGTCGGTAATCTGAAAATTTAAAATTGGAAGCCGATATATATACGGTATGTTATCTAGTTCAAGCAGTACATTAATTTGTGTCAAATATAATAAAGTTCTAATTGTTTTTTCATAGTAAAGAAGTTTCATTGTCAGATCATGTTCTATATAAGTAACGTTATAACCCACAAGTCATGTATGTCTTTTCTTTATTTTATGACAGGCCCTTTGACTCTGGTCTTGATCGAATTTCTGTCAATCGGCTCGTCTAATGGAACATGTTTGCATTGCGGTTAAATAGGATGGTGGTAGATCTTTGAGATAACGTTACTATACATGATAGGTTTTAAAATCACTCTTTCTAAAATGAGAGTTATCACACTATCCGGAGAGAGAAAAATGTGCCACAATATCCAATATACTTATTACCATGAACAAAGCATAAAAATTATGTTCATATACAACTCGCAGATCCAGTGGTATATACAACTCTCAGATCCAATGGCATACAACTCTCGGATCCAATGGCTAATACAACCCAGTCTCAACTCTTAGATCCAATGGCATATATAACTCAGTCCCAATGACACAATATACAACTTAGTCCCAAAGGCATAGACTTCTGAAATCTAGACCCAATGATTATGCGTTTCAGGTGATGTGTCGATGTGTATTGGTATTTATATTTTGTGTCCAGATATCTCAATTTCTTCATTCGACACTAGAGGTCTTTAGATATTCACATTTCTCATCAATTCTTCATTCGACAATAACATTTCATTGTGCTAGCTCCTATATTATGTTTGTATCGCTGGAATTTATTTTTAATATTTATATCATTTCGACAAAAACAAGTCCCTTGAAACCCGTGTTTTGAGAACTGTCGTGTGGCACATTGGAAAAGCTGTTCCAGTCAGGTTCTGTGTAATGCGTCAAGGACAAAATGATTCGGTCAGTTTAGCAGTTCCCAATCTTCCGCTTATTTGGGCGAATCAAAGGTCACACATATCTAAAATCCCCCCCCCCCCCCCCAAAAAATGTATCAATGCTATGAAACTAGCTTTAAATCTTACGTTTTTGGAATGTCTCAGTTCACAACGGTCCTCACTTTGAGATATATATTTTTAATGGCATCATTGGTCATATGAGAGAAAATCACAATGAAAGCACCAGACTGTTATAAGCATCCTCTCGCCAGGCTTAGACAGGCAGACAGAGAGAATATGAAAGTAACCAGTCTGATAAAAGTGTACATGCCAACTTTCGTAGAACTTACGATATTGACAACAGAAAGAGTTACAAAATACATCTCACAGCAAGGTACAATGGTCTCAACCTTTATTTCCTCAAATTCGATACTGTATTTTGTGATTGTGTGTAGAGCGTTTACCAAAAAGTCTGTGCTCAAAAGGGCAGTACAGTAGGATGGGGTGTTTTATTTATTTAATTTGGCTTTTATATTGAGATGATAGTGCATTATTTCAGATATTCATTCCCTTACATGGACGCTGATTTATTCCCAGATCACGTATTCAACACCTCTGATGACCCCCCCGCAGTATCAAAATAGCCCATGTAAGAGTGTTAATGACTTCATTTCAGTTCAATTGTCAATTTCAGCAGGTGATTTAGACATCAAAGTTTTATTTAAGATGCATCCATTGAAATTAGTCCGATCATAATCCAAGTGTCAATGAAATCCGTTATCATAAACGGTCAACGCCCCACAATTCATTTCCCATACTACGTGGTTTTAATAGAACGTAAAATGAAGAACAATACCCAAAGGCAAATCTCTTTCCAATACCATAACACAGCAAGACCCTTTATTGAGAAGCTTAAGAAGGTCACCAGTTTACCACAGACATTCAGGACTAATGAGCTAGCAAAGAAATACGGTTGGAAAAATCTAACGAGCGCTACATGTAGAGGCCTTACCTGTGGTAAAAATTGTATTGTATAGTGACGGCGTGAAAGACAGTCATCTGTGTCGTCAATCGTTCTATTGGGACATATACAATCATAGTGTCTAAGGGTATGCTACTATAAATGTGCGGTAATAGCGTAAAAACTGGTCCTACAGGCTATGAGCTCTCGCTACCACTAACAATAGACTAAATAGAAATACAGGTTTTTCAAGTTCTAAAAACTGGATTTAGCATAAGAGAATGAAATTTACTGGTAATAAATCCAACAGCCACATTCCGAGGTAAGCTGAGCTCTATATTACATCGTTTATGATTATATCATATTTCAATAATTTAATTTGTTTGGTGGACATATATTTTACAGTGATAACAGTCAGATAATGTTTTTGTGAAAAAAAATGTGGATTATTGACATTGGATATTAATCTCTTTGATCATGGATTCATTTATTAAGGATATAATTCATTATATTTTTTGGAAGAAGACAAATAATTTCGTGACTGTTCATGTTAACCTATGCGTAATAATCATCAGTTTATTGTAAAGGGTCTCAATGAAATATATATTTAGATTTTTGCATGACTGCCTTTTGTAAAATTAAAAATTCTACGATGCGTACCCCTATAATGTCTTCATCGAATATCTTTTGGCCCAATTTTAGTGACTTGCCAGGACTGGACAAAAAGGCAAAATCAAACTCGATGCTGCTTCTAGCTGTTACTGCCATTATAAGAGTTATGGAACTAAGTATCAGTTAATAATGCTGTGGTATTTTTGCAGTCTAACGATACTAAGCATAAAATAGGGGTCGAGAAGCGAATTAAATTCTTTAGAACCTTTCCATGACGATTGTGTATGGGAATTTAAATTCAGTGATTGCTTGATTGCAGGTCCACCTGGGTTCTTTCAACGTATTTGAATTAATAATAGCTAATTTTGTTCTCATTTTGTACCCTCTTTAAGTGTGTTTGGAATTCGATACGTTGTCATTATGTTCATGGGAGTTCGATCAACCCTTAGGCTTTTTTTTCTATTCAAACCTTACAATTTATTCATCCTGTTCTTAATATTTCTAAATAGGTCTGCACTTGTGTTTGAGAACCCCTGTATCCTACGAATTTTCAGTTTTTTGAAAATTGGAAACAGATTTCTTTTGTCCAAATGATAAGTTTCCCTTTAAAAATACCAGATACTGTTTAAAACCTTCCGAATGTGTTCACATTTTTGGACCATATTCTCATAGTACTGAAAACGGGAAGATTTATTTTGGTGTCATCTGATTGGAAAATAACTTAGTTGAAATTTTGAATTAAATATTGCTTCCTTCACTTGGAATGTCAATTTTTTAAAAGGGGAAACTCACTTATGATATCAAAGACGTTATTAGATATGTGTGCTCTATATTGAAGTACCCAACTGAAAAAAAAAACTGTTGCAAAGTGACATCAGGTGTATCGTAAGTGAGAGATTCGTTGCCTTGCTAGCAGTACTTAAAGCGGAGCTCAAGTTCAATAAATCTTTCGTCTATGTCCATCTTTTCAACCATATCCATAAATTATTCCTCTTTTTTTATAAATGTGTGATTTTTGGGTTTATTTTTGAAAAGTGGAAATTTATCATTATTATTATAATATAAAATATCAATTTACTATGTAATACTTTGGTTACATAAGCTCTAAGTCCGTTTTTTAAACACCACAATTTGTATACCAGACCTATAGACCTATTCTTAGTTTGATTTTACATTGACTTGACATTGACTGTAATAAATAACACAATAAGACATATATGTCCTTTTATATATCTGAATAATATACTGAGTTTGAGTCCAAAAGATATGAGACCAAAAATTAGCATTTATACAGTTAGTATACAGTAAAGCAATGTAACGGTTAATGACCATGCAAGACCGAGGCTACCAATAGATTTTGTCTCGCTGGGAAAATGGGTTGTTATTTCCACCTAAAATTTGACTTGAATGGATTTAGTCATCTATTATAATATGTTTATGAATAATAACTAGAGCATATCTTATGCCTTCTAGCAATTACTGTCAATTTGTATACTCCCCTTTTTCCAGAAATTGAAAATATCTTTTCATCAAATATTACGTGTGTAAAACAATTATCTTGAGAAATTCATCAGAGCATTAAAAATTTCAGAAAACAGGAAATCCTTAGATTCAATTTTAAAAGGTTTTTTCCTTAAACAGGCCTACCACCGCAGAATCATTTGAACTATCTTTATTTTGAACGTGACTGTCGTGAATGGATCACAGTTTTATAACATTCATATCTTAAAGGATTGTTGCACAAAACTAAAAAAGAAAAAAAAAATAATAATAATAATAAAAAAAATTGTATTTTGTGGAAAAACGAACTATGAAATATGGTAGAAAAATTATACAACAAGAACATGCAGACCTTCGAAGAAATAAGAAATATGATAACAGAACCTTATTCTAATATTTCTATATTAGATACAATTACAATTTTCAGTTGATTTATTGACCATTTTTTCTAAAAGTGACTATATTTTGTTATTTCATGTACTTCGCATAATTTAATAATATACGTACATAGTTATCAATTACATAAACCAAAACCTTTGAATACCCAAGACTAGCCCAGATTTAACAACAGGGTTTTCACAAAAAACAGGGGCAAATTCGTAAATATTGAATTTCGTCGTGGGTATAATACATGTTGTCAACCAGACTGAAAAAAACATAGGTTACACAATATTTAGTTTCATTTGGAAACGCTTGAATAGGGCTATTTTAACCCACACATATGCACTTTTATTTTTGTCAAGCTTTTGAATTGGTATGAGCAAACAAGATCAGCGCCTATAGGTCGGCCACAGTTGCGTACGGTTTCAGTAGCGGTCATAAGTTTCGAACGCAACTCTCATGCAACTGAGTTGTGAATTGCGTTCGGACGCATGATCACCAACTGATAAGCGCTGCAGTCTGGGGGCACATTTAGCTGAAGAAGAGTTATGAAAAGAACTGTAACAAGAACATATATAGGCCTATTCTCAAAAAATGCTACTTTTTTTTAATTCTTATGCTGTGAAAACACATAATTCTTATACAATGTATTTGAGTTGTTGTTACCATTCGTAAACCTTAAATTGTTTCCGTATAACTGAAAATGTTGCAGAATCTTAACGGTGAACCGTTTGAGCCTTCTGTTTAAAACTAAATGTGAATTTATTCTACGTGATAATTCTGATATATCTTTGAACTAGATCAATTTGGAATTCAAAGAATATTGTTTATTTCCTTTTATCGATGTTACTTGAAAAATAATATTTTCCTTATTCATGTCAATTAAGTTGATGAACTTGTACTAAAATAAATCAATTATTTTCTATTGACATGAAATATGATGTAACTAAATCAAAATTCTTCAAAACATAGCAACAATCGATCTGATCCTAGGTTTACTCAAGTTCTTAGGTAGTTTCTGGTACATTGGAAATACAAATAAAGTACATATTATGTCAGCAGATACTTGCATTGTCAGATATATTAACATTGTAGCTTTAGTATAAACATATAAATAAGACCGAGTACGTCTATACGAAATTTTACGGCCATTGTAAGTTGCGATTACAGGGGTACGCAAACTCAGCAGCTTTAACTCGTCTATTTGCAACTGAAATATATAGTTACGGGTGTTGCTGAATGTGCCCAAATTTCATGGGTTTTCTGTTGATTTCTTGGCATTTATTCACCAGGGTTCCGGGAAATAGAAATTGGGTCTAATTAAGGTGGTAAAGAAATATTTATAGGGTTCAATGGCCTTAACGACTATAAGTCTTAATTGAAACGTTTAATATTGTTTCTAAATTGATCAAAAATAAATACAATTTAACATCTTTACGATCAAAAGCGACCAATATTAGCATGGAGCTAATTGTCAATATAACTTTACTCTTTATTATATTGTCAAGTTGAGTTTTTTTGGAGAAGCCCGAGGGTTGACATGAAAAAGGTTCTAATCAGGTGGCAGGATAACAGTGTCTTATCAATAGTCTCTATTTTCAGGTGATCAAAAGTATTCATGAAGGTCATTAATGTCAAAACACTATAGTAAATCCCATGGCCCAGATCGTAATAACGGTATTAATGTCCATTCACCATACAATTCGTTAGAATTAAACCATTGTCCTGGGACAAGAAAGGACTTAGGGTTTTCTTCTGTCGAGTTTTATTGATTCGATAGTCGACCGAGAGCTTAGACCGACTTTGTCCCACGAACGACAAGTTAAGGCTATGGTCACATTAAGACTTTCTCAGATAACACTTTGAGCGATAACAATCCAATTGTTTCAATAATTGTTGACAAATTTGAATTTAAGCCAATTGTAGTAGGCTATTATTCTTGTCAACCACAAACTACGGCCTAGATCGGACTTAACGACCGTTTTTTGCTGGGCTGAAGGGTTGTTACAACGTTTTATTTTATCAGGTTTAAAAGTGGCCCCAAAGAACCAAGATGAAGAAGTAAAACACTGGGAGAAGACGAATTAAATAAACTCAAGGAGAACTAATAAGAACTATAATACGCGACAAATATTTCAGGGTCTGAAAACACAATGAAAAAGAATTTAATTCGTATTTTATTTCACACAACTGTATTCATTGGCCGACTATCGACAATCGATTCGCTTTTTTTTCTGTCCGTGTAAAGCATGGTTACTTCTTAGTAATGTAGTGATTGACTGGCTATGAAGGATTGAAATGTTGACATATTACTTGAGCACTTCAATGAAAAAAGCATAATGATATAATAATTGAATGTCACTTTGAATGCAGAGAATTTTAGGGTAAGAGGTGCGTGTAGTTCAATGTTTTGATTTAAGATCGATCCAGATTCTGATACGCCATCAAGAAGTTGGTAGATTATGATGAAAAACAAAACAGTTTCTATCACATGCAAGGTTCATACACCATGAGTATTAAATCACATTCTGTTATGACCCGAAAAGGTCCTCTATATCTCAGTCTTCACCAGTCAGTTACCAGTTATGTGGGAATGAGTGCAGTCGGTTGTGACTCCCTTTGATAAGGATAAGACATAGGCCAGTGCTTTCATTGAGACTCGTCTCATCTCAATACACCCTAAGACTAAGGAAGATGATTGTAAAGATTTAGAATGCTTATTTGGAACTGAATTGATGAAATTGTAGAAGCGATTTGCGCTTACGATTCTAATCGACCAAATTGTAAACAATATTGGCAGACTGTTGTCTTAGGGTTTATATGCCAACA